CAGGTCAGCAGGACCCGCTCTCCAGCACTGCTGGCTGAAAAGATGGTTTGCAACATCCCTCTGCATGGGCCTGGTGTGGAGCACGGTGAGCGTACCCAGCTCTGGATCCTGTCCCAGCATCCACAGGCTGGAATTTCCCCACTGAAATTGCAGTCGACTGATGGGAAAGCCACCCGCTCCAGAGAAGGCGATGCCTTCCCGTATCCCTGCTTGCACGAGGCCGATCGAGCCCGGGAGCCGGGGCAGTTCTTGCAACACAGGCTGAGTTTTTTGCTCTCCAAGTTGGAGAGCCAAAAGATATAGCGAGCCTTCCCACTGAGCCCTTCCCCACGCCTCCCTCCCTGCCCGCAGAGACTTGCCGTCTCCACCTCGAGCAGCCAGACCCACGGGAGCAGCCGGGTCCCCTGCCCACCTCCCCTGGCCACCAGATGGGACACGGCTGGGGAAAAACACAGGATGGGATCCAAGACTCACAGCTTGCAGGGCACAGAGGCCAAATCCCTATCCCGCCCCGGCATACGTATCAAGCATCTGACGTGGAGCCACCCTGAGGCAGCCCCTGCTCCCCACTCCCGATGCTGCCAGGATGCTCTTGCGGGGGAAAGCAGGGCTCTCAGCCCTGCCAGATGCCGGGCAGGCAGAGGCCAGTACCATCGTCCCCTTCCCGCCGCCCTGCAGCTGCCGTGGCAGAGCTGCCAACCTTTGTGTTTTGTAACAAACCTCAGGGTGTTCCGCTCCTGGAATCATACAATTACATGAAATCACAAATATATACATAAATATATATATAAAAAAATTACTTTTTATATATATATGTTTAATAGCCCCTCACAGTTGGAAAAAGTGACCAAAATCCAACCTAAAGCCACAGAAATCAGAGAACAGGGGACATACAGTGTTTTCTTCAAATCTCACATTTGAGCCACTCTCTTGATTTTAGGGTGATTTAAAAACTGTGCCTGGGATTGCAGTGGCATGGAAGGGCTTTTCACCCACGGCAACCGAAACCTTAACAAGACACAGGGGTATGAACTACCCCCGTCTGGCACCGAGGGGCGAAATCTCATTGTCTCTGCAGCACGGGCCGAATTCCTTAGGTATTCTGAAAGGGAAAATATATCCCTTCCCCTTCCATCCCCTCCCAAATCTGGTATTTCTGAAGTCATGAACTGCTCCTCCTCCTCCTCCAGGATCAGAATTTCTCAGGGTAATTTCTCATATTTCATGCATGACCCTGATGCTGGGAGAACTGCAGCTCCCTCCAAACAGGCACCCTTCCCAAGCTCCAAGCAACTCCGCAGTCCCAGTTTGTCTTTCCGAGACACTCCACCAGTTTTGCAAAACAGACACCAAAAATGCTCTGTATTCCATCACCAGCTCAGAGTGAACTCATCTAATTCATTAATAAGTTGATCTTCACCCAGGGTAAGTGGCTGGTCCACCCCAACTCTGCAGGCCACAGCGAGATGGGGTTAGTTGCTGGACACCAGTTCATTCTGCTGGAGTTGCATGTAATTGCCCCCCGCCTGACGGAGAAAAGTACAGTGTGGTGGAAAAAGGCTGAGCCCTAAGAGGAGGTGAGCGGGACTCTCTGCAAACGCACTGTGGGCATCAACCGAGCGCAGGAGCAGGACCGCCGAAGGTGGAAGGAGGACCAAGCGGATGTTGTCCTTTGCTCACTGATCAGGAGCCCCACCACCGGCAGAGCAGGGTACATTTCGGGGAGCAATCATGGCAAATCGGGTGGATTTGGGATACCAAGGTCAAGCAGTGGGGGAGAAATACTACATGGAGGGCCATCTCTGCGGGAATCAAAGCAAGCATTGCAAGGTCTCATTCCAGGGAGGACGCACACAGCTGGTTCCCATGGGATCGTGTTGGGGAAAGGCTTCCTGACCATTGCTATCCACCCAGCGCTTGCTGGGAGGACACCACCGCCAGGGAAACCACCCTCGCCCCATGTACACCTCACTGCACCTCCGAGGCCGTTTCCCCCGAACCTGCACGTGGGCAGCTCTGCACCAGCCTCAACTCCCAGCGGCCACTTTACCATGGGACACATCCACCCCCCAGGCAGGGGACAGGGGGACAGGGCTGCCCCGACAGAGCAGAACTGCAAGATTACATGCCTGCAGCTGCAAGACAGAAAGCTGGTAATAAAAGAGTTTAACCGCTTGGAGGGCACAGGGCATTTGGGCTCCTCATCCAAGAATCACTATAGGGCTGCAGCACCGCAAGCATTAGCCGGGTTACATGCCTGGGTCCAGCTCAACCGGCAAAGGGGGACACTGCGGTCTGGGAAGGAGCTCACACCCACCCGAGACCTCCCAGGCATGGAGAAATCTGTGGGCAAGATGTCCCCCTGGCTTGTCTCAGGCTGGTCTCACCGCAGTCCTCTCCCAAATCCTTACTGTTTTCACGAGGGAAATGAAGCCCATGCAGCTTCCCTGATGTCTAATAAGGGTTGTGCGTCCTTCAGGGCTGTTCCCCTGGCAAGACCAACCACGTCCCTGCACACTGTCCCGCAGGATGCTTGCAGGATGCTAATTCCCAATAAACCGGGCTGAAACCGGCTGCGGGTTTGGAGGGTACTAGAGGAGGGCAGGTGGACAAACCACAAGAGCACACAGCCCTTGTTTCCGTAGGAAACCGGGGGGAGCAGAGAGCCAGACTGCCCCACAGAGTGCCTTCAACCGCAGCTGGACGGCTGGCCCAGGGCAGGCACGCTCGCTTCTCCACCTCCCTCCTTCCTTCTCTGCACCCAGGCCTTCCCCTCACCGCCAAATCCCAGCCACCGAGTGAATAAGGACATTGTTTGCAGTCACCGGAAAGCCAGAACGGAGGGAGCAGCTTGGAGCACGAGGGGGAGGAAGGGCGAGGAGGAGGAGGAAGGTGGAACCGGAGCGAGGAAGCCGCGAAGGGCAGATGCCTGTCGCGGGAATGGCTCCAGACACCTGCAGCTCAGCCCAGGGACCGGGATCAAGGGCTCCCATTGAGACCCGCATCCCGGCACATTGCTGGAGACGGGCCCGAAGTCACAGCGACTGAATTTTAATGTACCGAGAGCCCTGGACCGAGGAGGCGAGCACAACCTTTTGCCTCCCCGCGCCTCCCACTTGCAGGCTTCCTGCTCCCCAGCCCTGCTCTGCTGTCAGCTGGCCGGTTTTCTGAGAAAAACCCACGCGACGAGCTATTCTCATCCCTCCTGAAAGCGTCCCCCCACCTGCCAACACAACAGCACCTCGACACTGTGTGGCTCAGGGCCATGGCACCCTAGCGTCCCCCAAAAATGGGATCTCAAACGATGAGATCCCACATCGCTGCAGCCCGAGGATACCCATCCCCACTGCCTGAAC